GCCCACGCCTCTGAGTGTGTCGGCTGTGAGTTGATGTGTCTGTGTGTGCCGCTCCAGCGTGCCGTCTCATCCCCTGTCTTGCGTCCACACCCCATACCGCGCCAGTGCCAGTCCGAGCCTGGCTGCTGCTCTCCCCTTCCTATCTACCTCTCTCGCCTTTGCAACGCTGTTTGCGCCGCGGCCAGTCGGGCCGCGGTAGAGCTTGTACCGGTTGCCGGCCGCCGACACCGCCTCCTCCTCGACCCAGCCGGCCGGCAGCAGCCTAGTGGAGATATGGGGAGACATGGAGGAGATATGTGTGGAGGAAGACCGACCATCAGGTAGACCGACCCCTGTGATGGTGCTCCCCGCCCCGAGAGAGGAGATATGGGGAGATATGGGGAGATATGAGTAGCGGCCTGCTCGGGCCCGGCCGCCGTCTTGCGGCGGCGGGCGCAGCGGCGGCAGCGGCGGCGGGCGCGGCGGGCGCGGCGGCGGCGGGCGCAGGGCCGGCTGCGCCGCGCAAGTGTGCCGCGTGCGCCTCCCACGCCTTGACGATCGAGTTGACCGTGGCGCCGCCCGGGCCGCGCCAGCGCTTGTACGAGCTGGCCGCGCCGCCGTCGGGCGCGCGCTTGGAGACCACAACCTCCTCAACCCAGCCAGGCGGGAGAGGCTTGCTCTTCCTCCGGGCCGCGGCGGCAGGCGCTGCATCCGCCGCGGCAGGGGCGGGCGCTGCGGCGGGCGCTGCGGCGGGCGCGGCTCGGGCCGGGCGGCGGCTGTCGGCGGCGGCCGCGGCCCACTCACGGACCACGCTCGGGTCGACGGCGGAGGAGGAGGCGGCGGCGGCGGCGGCGGTGGCGGTTGGCGCTGCTGGTGCGCGCGGAGGCACGTCGTCGAGCCCCTCGGGCACCGGGTCGAGGTCGATGTCCTCAACGTAAGCGCCGGTGATGAGGGCCACGTCATCGAGGGCGCCCTTCTTCGGGGCGGGCGCCTTCCTCTTGCGCTTGGAAGGCATGCCGGCCGGTCGCTTTTCTCAAAAAATAAAAAAAATTATAGGGTTAAGGACTGCAAGCCAGATGTCGCGCCGCGCCACATCGAGCCGGGAAGCTGGCAGTCAATGACCTAGCAACAGGCAATTCCTGACTTCCAAAGTGCAAAGATGGGACTGCTGTGCTGCTACTGCCGCTGTAGCTGCTGCTGCTGCTGCTGCTACTCCTGCTGCCGCTGCTGCTGCTTACTGCTGCTGCTGACAAGAGTTCGCCTCGGTCTCGGTGAGGTCGGCGTGGTCGAAGATGGCCCCCTCGCCCGCCCGCAGCCCCGCCACCGCCGCCGCGCGCAGGGACTGGCGCGCAATGGCACTAACACCAAAAAAGACTTTTACGAGTCGGACTCTAACTCACTCGGAATGGGACTGGCGCGCACTCATGCACTGGCACTAACACAGGTACACCACCCTAGCGACTCCTGCGAGGACGGCGAGGCACTTAGCTCCATGCACTCGACCGCCCTCGCCGCAGGCAAGCTCATTCACAATCTGCTCTGCGCGATGGCTGTTGTGAAGAACGACTGAGATACGCAGCTTCTCTGCAGCCCTAGCCAATTCTAAGAATTGTGTCCGAGACGGTCATCTACTAACTAAGTAAGACAGCAAGGTTGGTTGGTTGGTTGGGGTGTGGGAAAGGAGGGTTCGTCTTGCTTGCATCCACATTTAAGATTAGAGTACAATTACCGCATTACTTCTCGCGATCTCGGCCCGAATGATTAATCGCTCTTTGTGGTAGCCTATCATGGGTCAGTTCGATGAGAGACCATGCCGGTTCGGTGCGTCAATCCTATGTCCTTCCTCCAAGTGTACGGACCTCTTCGCTGTGTTTCGACAGTTCGCCTCGAACCGCGCCAGCGTGTGCGCGCGCCAGTCCCGTGCCCAGTGTCGGAGAAAAACTACCATCGTTTTCTCTCTTCTGAGGAAGCCGTCGCCCGCGCCTTGTCTGTCGCGTGAATCGTGCTGTGCGACCGCCTTTCGTCACGTAAAATTCTCTTATATTGGTGAAGAGACACAAAATATGGCCAGCGACTGGACACCGTATAGGCGGAAAGGGGTTGCCGCACTCCGTTGAGACGTCACACACACACAGGAAGAATCAAAGGACAAAGGACGAAAGGGACAGAAACGACACAGACACACAAACTCACAAGACACGCAGCCAGCTAGGCTGCCACACATCCCGTGAGCGTCCTGCTCTGGCGGCGAGGTGGACGGTGACCAGGGGGGGGGGGGGGGGCAGCCTCTCGGGCGGTCAGAGGGAACAAGAGGGGAGGAGGAGGAGAGCCTGATCCTCATTTTGCTCCTCGGGGCCGGCTGTGCGCTCCGAGCTCGCCCTCAAAGGCTCAATGCTCAAACGAGTGGGGCAGATGGTTCCTTCCTCTCTCCTCCCGCAACCTTCCCTGTCAGAGAGGGGCGGCGGTTGCGCTTGCGGCCGATAAAGAGGGCAACAACCAGCAGCGCTAGCAGCCCGATTCCAAGGAGGGGCGATGCGGCATCGCCGACGGGAGACGGCAGCTTGGCCAGCACGGAGCTGTCGTCGCTGGGCGCCTCGACAACCTTTCGGGCAGTCACGCACTCCGGCACTCGCTGCTTTGTGTTGTGACAAGGCCGTGATGCTCGCTCTCCTCCACTTGGCGACCGCCGGTCTCACGCTTCGCGACGCTGAGGCCGCGGGCAAAGCCGGCGATTTCGGCCCGCTCGTCGAACTCATCAGGACGGAGCCCGGCTACCAAGAGCGGGCTGCGTTTGCGCTCGGCGAACTCGCTCGCTCTGGCAACGCACGGGACGGGATAGTCATGGCCGGTGCGCTGGAGCCGCTGGTGAAGCTTCTCAAGACTGGCAGCGACGGAAAGAAGGAGAATGCGGCCCTGGCAATCTGGCTCCTCGCCAACAATCACGCCGGCAACCAGGAGAAGATAGGAGAGCTCGGTGCAATCGCGCCGCTGGTGGAGATGGTGAGGAACGGGGACGCGCCGAGCCAGCAGAAGGCGTCGGGCGCGCTCAAGAGCCTTGCCGTGCTCTTGCCGAACAAGCGCAGGATCGTCGAGGCTGGCGGTGTCGGCCCTCTCGGGCAGCTGGCGCTCGCCGGCGGCGAGTCCGCATGGGACGCGATGGCGAAGCTGATCGGCGACGACGACGACAACCGCAAGCTTGCGACCGAGATTGGGATCATGCCGCTCCTCGCCGCGGCGGAGGCCGAGACGGTTGAGGCTGTGGCCCTTGCCGCCGCATGGTGCCGCGAAAACCGCATCCGCACAGTGGCCGACATCGGGCGGCACGGCCTGGCCGGCTCGCTCCTCGAGGCGTTGCCCCTCGAGCCCGCAAAGCTGTCGAAGCTGTCGAAGGCGCTCTCGAAGGGCATTGGGGACGAGACGTGTGAGCTCTAGGCGATGCAGCGCGGACACATACACACACTTTGTTCCTCTGCCGTGGGCGCCCTGGCGGCAAAGGCCGCTTGTACAGACTGCACACCTTTGAGACTCTTTTGTGTCGACTCGCCTCGCCATGTAATCAGTATGTGTAGGGACGATGTCCCGAAAAGCACACACACTTGCGTTGACGGTGACACCTTGCCTGCGGGAAACGGCGATATTCGGGCGCGCACCGCTATACTTTGACGTCACCGCGCGAAGCAGCACTCGGGCGCCGACACGCTAGTGTGCCCTGGTGGTGCCCTTCATCGCTCGCCGGATCTCGGCCCTCGTGTCCTCCACGATGCCGCGCGAGTAGCTGGAGCAGCGGGCCGAGGGTTCACAGTAAAGAGAGAGGAGGGCGGCGGCGCAGAGGGACGCGGGAGATGGGCGGGAGAGAGCCGCGGCTTGCGCGAGCGAGTTAGGCGATACACGGCATTGAGAGAGCGAACGTATAGAAGCAGCGGGGGCAGGGAGCACACCGAAACGTCGGGTGGCACTTCATGAGCTCCTCCAGGCTCGCCTTCTCCATGGCAACGTACTCGGAGAAGCTGATCTCGGCCGCGTCCATCGAAGCCCCGTCCGTGTCGTGGCTCATGAACTCCTTCACCTTCGCATCCACCTCCGCCGGGCTGTACCGGCGGTACAGAATCTGCGTGCACTCGTCGGCGTCAATGGTGCCCGACCCATCCTTGTCGTGCATCATAAACTCAATCATCGTGAAGAGCTTTCTCGGCTCCCACCCCGACTTGTCGGCACGTACCCGCTGGTACCTACACACCACAGGAGTGCTAGCTAGGTACTCGACGGCAGCGCCAGCGACGAGAGGGCCGGAGACTGTGCAGAGGCACATGAGCTTGAACTCGCTCCATTCCAGGGCTCCATCCGCATCCTCGTCCACCTGCGTTTGGGGGCGGGGCGCACAAGCGATCGATGGCGGGACGGGGAGTGCGGCTGCGCCAGCGTTGCGACCGCCGGCGCGCCTCCCACATCATGTCGGCCACCTCCTTTTTGCTGCACTTGTAGCCGAGCCGCCGGATGGTGTCGTGCATCTCGTCGACGTCGACCTTCTTGTCGTTATTCTTGTCGATGCCGTCAAACACACGCTGCAGCCCCTCTAGCTCCTGCGACTGGTTGTACAGCGCGCGCGTCGAGGCGGCCTCGCTCGACTGGCCTGGCATCGGCGCGACCAGAGCGGCGCACGCAGCGGCGACCGTCGCCGCCGTAACCGTCAAGTTGCAACTTCACACAAACTTCACACTCGGCTCCGGGCATGAGTGAGTGGCAGCGCCCCGCGCCCTGCGATCGCTCGCCGTTTGGCACTGTAGTGAGAGCAGCGTGCGGGGTGTGGCAGCGCAGCGCGCGCCGTGTACCGATTCGCGACGCCGTTGAAGTCGCATACCCCACAAGCCCGTGAGCAGCTCTACAGCGCTCCACATTTCTAAGAGACTTCGACATATGGATATCGCCCGCACACGTCCGTGTCCCGAATCCAGCAGCGTTGTTGTGCGCGGCGGTAATGGCGTCCGCCGCCCGCAAGCGCGCCCGCACCGGCGGCGGCGGTGACGGGGACGAGCCCGTGCCGGTCGCGGATGGTTTCGAGGCGCCCATCTTTGGCGCGCGCGTCGTCGGACAGGTCACCACGCTGGCGCTCGAGGGCGAGGACGGCCCTCTATCGCTCGGTCCGGTTGGCGTCGCGAGCGACCACGCGGGCGCCTGGTACGTCTCGACGAAGGACTCGCTGCTGCACGTCTCGGCGGCCGGGCGCGTGCGCCGCGTGGCAGCCTTGCCGGCAAGCAACTACTACACTGCTGCCAGCCCAGACGGGAGCGCGGCGTTTGTGGCGGACTACAGCAGCCACAAGATCCGGCGGGTGGAGGTGGCGACGGGCGCGGTGACGACGCTCGCGGGCAGCGGCAGCATGGGCGACGCGGATGGCGTCGGCGACGCGGCGCAGTTCGATAACCCAGCCGGCATCGCCATCAGCCCAGACAGCACTGCACTGTTTGTGGCGGACGAGAACAACAACAAGATCCGGCGGGTGGAGGTGGCGACTGGCTCTGTGACGACGATCGCGGGCAGCGGCCAGGTAGGCGGCGCGGATGGCGTGGGCGACGCGGCGCAGTTCAACAGCCCAGCCGGCCTCGCCATCAGCCCGGACGCGAGCGCGCTGTTTGTGACGGACTTCCACAACCACAAGATCCGGCGGGTTGAGGTGGCGACTGGCGCGGTGACGACGATCGCGGGCAGCGGCGAGGATGGCGACGCGGATGGCGTGGGCGACACGGCGGAGTTCTGCTCCCCAACTGGCATCGCCATCAGCCCAGACGGCGGCGCGCTGTTTGTGGCGGACCACGGCAACCGCAAGATCCGGCGGGTTGAGGTGGCGACAGGCGAGGTGACGACGGTCGCGGGCAGTGGCACGGAGGGCAGCGCTGACGGCGTGGGCGACGCGGCGGAGTTCGACTGCCCAACTGAAGTCGCCATCAGCCCCGACGGCAGCACGCTGTTGGTCAGTTCGAGCGGTGGCTTCCGCCAGGGCTGCGTGGCTGCGCCTCCTCCGCCTCCCTCCTTTGCCCCGATAGTCGTTCCGCCTTCGACCCTTGGAGCTGATTTCGCAACGACACGGGGCGACGCCACCCTCCCGCAGGGCATGGTCACCTTCCTGGTCGGCGACGACAAGGAGCACATCGAGCATGTGAGCAAGAACAACCTCTGCGCCCGGTCCCCGGTCTTTCGGACCATGTTTGGCATCGGCATGAAGGAGCGCGACGCCGCCGAGGTCACGGTGTCCCACACCGACCTCGCCAGCTTCACCGCCCTCGTCGACTACCTCCTCTCCGACAAGTTCGACCTCGGCGACGAGGAGGGCAGGGCGCAGCGCGCGCTCGACCTGCGGGAGCTGGCGCAGATGTACCAGGTGCCGCGCCTCGAGCTGCTCTGCGCGCAGGCGCTGCAGGAGAGCGTCGCGCCGGCGACCGCCGTGCCGCTGCTCGAGGCGGCGCACACGCTGGGCGACGGGCGGCTCCTTGCGCAGTGCCGCCGCTACGTGGCCGACCACGCCGCCGAGGTGCGGGCGAGCGGCGGCGTGGAGCAGCTGCGCGACTTTGGCGTGGCCAAGGGGCTGCTCGGCGACGCGCTCGACCAGGTGGCGGAGCTGAAGGGGACGGTGGCGGCGCGCGACGTGGAGCTCGAGAAGGTCCGGGCGGAGCGGGCATGAGTGAGGGGCAGCGCCCCGCGCCCTGTGATCGCTCGCCGCTTCCGTTTGGCACCCGTGATAGCAGTGTGTGACAGCTGACAGCCCAGCGCAGCGCGCCGTGTACAGGGCGAGCGCGATCCTCTGCGACACCGTTGATGTCCCGGGTGCGTATAAGTACGTGAGTAAGCGTAGGCGCTCTCTTCTCTTCACTGCATGTTTTGGCATCACGGGTCCAGAGGTGTACATTATATAAAAGCCGTACCCTATACTCTGGCTCTGGAGCGACTGGTGTGGAGGGTTGCCTCTATCTCAGCGCGTCTTTCACGAGTCCAATTAAAAGCAGTACTGGCTCTCTGGACTGGTGGAGGGTTGCGCCTCTCACGCGTCTCACGCCCAACTCAAGTACTCTGCGCCGACGTTGGTCGCCTGCAGCGGCACATCCAGCACGCCAAACTCGCCCGCCTCGATGCAGATGCTCAGCCCGAACCCGAGCGACGTGATCGCCAGCGACGGCGCCAGATGCTGCGAATTGTCCACCGCCGGCGTTGGCGGCGTCGAGCGGAGTCCGAGCCACAGCGGGCTCGCCTGTTCATGGGACGTGTCGTGGACGCGTCATGGGCGTGTGCTAGGTGCCAACTGCTCGGAGTACAACGCTGAGAACAAAGACCTGTGCTCCGCTTCTAGGCCTCGAGATCTGGGGAGGTATGGGGAGGTATGGGGAGATTGTTGTTCCGCATTTGGCTGTACTCGCCCGCAGCGTGAGCGGCGCGGAGAGGATGGAGAAGTCGATCTCCTGCGTCGTTGTGACCCAACCGATTAGGAATACATCACTCAATGAGGTAGAGAAGGCAGATCTCCGGCGTCGCCGTGACCAGTATGAACCAATTAGTATGAACCAATTCGCGATGACTCACTTCCATTAGGATGACGACCCTGCGTCATCATCGTGAGCTATGGGGAGATATGGGGAGATCGATGTGTGACGAACCTGCGTCATCATCGTGACCCAGTGCGGCGTCGCGCGACGACCGCTCTCGTCTGGCGGCCCGACACCCGCCTGGCGAGGGAATCGAATCTTGAGACCTCATGCACAGGGCCGCTCTCAGGGCCGCTCTCGTCTGGCGGCCCGACTCCCCACCTCGATCCGCGTCCCTCGCGACGTCGCCCTGAAGTCGCGCGGCGCTCGCATGGCCGCGTGCGCGTGCTCCGCCCCCCCCGGCCGCAGGTCCTCCTTGTGGAGGGTGAAGGCGAGGAAGTGCGCCACCGCGTGGCGGGCCGAGTCGTGCAGGAGGATCTGCACCTCCAGCCCCTCCCTCCCTCTCGCACCTGGCAACAGAAGAGCGAACGCTGCGAGGGAGCGGGTGGGAAGAGGATCGGCAACTTGCCCGCTGCGCCTGCGCCGCCCTCCCCGCTGCCCTCCCCACCGCCCTCCCCGCCAGCGGCAGGATCCTACTCTCCAAGATCACGCGAGATCACGCGAGATCGCCCCCAGATCAGACCGAGGGGAGCCTCCAGCCCCCGGGCCACCTCCTCCTCGTTGCCGTCGCTCTCCCCCTCCCCGTCGCTGTTCGGCACCGGGTTCGGTAGGACGTCGAGGTCACCACCGCCCTCCTCGCCGCCGCCAGGCGCCTGTTCACACCCGCCGTCAAGCCGTGAAGAGGACAAACCTCGCGCATGCGCCGCCCCTCCTCGCCGCGCAGGCAGGCACCCCTCCCAACACCGTCGCGTGCCAGCTCTGCGGGAGGGCGACGCCCTGTCGAAGAGGAGGCAGTTCGAGCTCGAGTGCGTTGCGCACCTGCCGGTTCAAACGACGAGACCTCACTCACCCGAAACGACCGACAGAGTCGCTCCGAGCGGCCGTTGCGCACCGTGGCGTTTGGCTGGTTCGGCAGCCCCACGTCGCGCACCACGCGCCGCACCTGACAAAGACAACTCGCATCGTTGAGTCAGCAGAGACGAGATGAGTTCCAACGAAGACCACCGCGCCGCGCCGTCGCTGCGCGCGAAAAGGCGACGGCGTCTTGGCCCTGGAAGCGGCCCTGGAGCAGGAAGGTGAGATGCCGCAGCGGGTCCTATGCAGCCGAGATCACCCGAGATCGCCCGAGATCGCCCGAGATGAGCGGCAGGAAGGTCAAGAGCGGCGGCGGCGCCTCGGCCTCCTGGCTGCCTATGGGGAAGGTTCCGAGAAGGTGCGTGCAAGGTTCCGAGAAGCGGCTCCAATGCCCTCAGCCTCTCTGGCTGCCCAGCCCGTCGCGGACGAGCGTCCAGTAGCGCCGCTGCCAGTCGACTCCGGCGCTCGAGAGGCCAGCTAGCCCCGGCCAGCGCCTAGTACGACCGAGCACGGAAGCGGGTAGGTGGGCGTGGTTGTCCGCTCCTCTCGCCTTTGGCCGCCCGGGACTGCGGTGCGCCTCAGGACGAGCCCGCGCCAGAGAGCGCTGTCGTCGGAGGAGCAGGCCGCGGCCCAGGCACGAGACACGCAGGCCGCATTCCGAAGGCACTCTGCCGGGAGGGCGCTGAGCAGCGGGACGAGGACGGCCAGCTCCGCATCGTCGAGCCGACTGCTGCGGTCGCTGAGCTGCGTCGCACTCTTCGCGTCCGCCGAGCTGCCGCGACTCTGGCGCAGTCGCGCGATGATCCGTGCGATGGCGACGAGCGGCCTCGCCTCCTCGGTGATGAGGCCGCCGAAAGCAGCCAGAACTGCAAGGAGCAGCACGGCGAGGATTGCCCGCGGCGACTCGAGGGCCGTGGCCGGCGGCGGCGGAGGAGGAGGCGATTGGCGCCGGAGGAAGTGAAAGAGCCACGCTGGCTTGGGCATCAAGAGCAGCATGGCCCGCGGCGGCTTCCGCGCCACGAATTCTTTTTGCAAAAAGACGGACCGCACCGACTCTAATTCGATGGCGCTGCTGGCAGTGCTGGGGTACGTAGCCGATGGCGCTGCTGGCATGGGGTACGTAGGTCCCGTAGCGGCTAGAGGCGGGGAGTGCGCGGGACTGCGCCCCGAGACTGCGGTGCGCCGTCGGGGGCTGCGGAGGCGGAGGTTGGCCAAAGATGACCACCGGGACATCTGACGCACATGATCGCATTTTTCGAGGGCTGGAGTCGGGACACGGGCTCGCAGGGTGCGTAGACAAATCAAAACGGTGCGCGGGAGCGCGCTCCCTGTACTCGGCGCGCTGCGCTGTCACACTGCTCCGGTACTCGATCGGGCGCTCTCAGCTCTCCGCGACGCGGAGCGCGCGCATCGCGCCCTTGAGCTCCGCCACCTGGTCGAGCGCGTCGCCGAGCAGCCCCTTGGCCACGCCAAAGTCGCGCAGCTGCTCCACGCCGCCGCTCGCCCGCACCTCGGCGGCGTGGTCGGCCACGAAGCGGCGGCACTGCGCGAGGAGCCGCCCGTCGCCCGTCGCGTGCGCCGCCTCGAGCAGCGGCACGGCGGTCGCCGGCGCGACGCTCTCCTGCAGCGCCTGCGCGCAGAGCAGCTCGAGGCGCGGCACCTGGTACATCTGCGCCAGCTCCCGCAGGTCGAGCGCGCGCTGCGCCCTGCCCTCCTCCTCGCCGAGGTCGAACTTGTCGGAGAGGAGGTAGTCGACGAGGGCGGTGAAGCTGGCGAGGTTGGTGTGGGACACCGTGACCTCGGCGGCGTCGCGCTCCTTCATGCCGATGCCAAACATGGTCCGAAAGACCGGGGACCGGGCGCAAAGGTTGTTCTTGCTCACGTGCTCGACGCGCTCCTCGTTGTCGCCGACCAGGAAGGTGACTTTCCCCTCTGGGAGGGACGCGTCGCCCCGCGTCGTTGCGAGGTCGGCTCCAAGGGTCGAAGGCGGAACGACGATCGGGGCAAAGGAGGGAGGCGGAGGAGGCGCTGCCACGCAGACCTGGCGGAGGCCACCGCTCGCACTGACCAACAGCGTGCCGTCGGGGCTCAGGGCGACTTCAGTTGGGCAGTCGAACTCCGCCGCGTCGCCCACGCCATCCGCGCTGCCCCTGGTGCCACTGCCCGCGACCGTCGTCACCTCTCCCGTCGCCACCTCAACCCGCCGGATCTTGTGGTTGCCGTAGTCCGCCACAAACAGCGCGCCGCCGTCTGGGCTGATGGCGATGCCAATTGGGCAGCAGAACTGCGCCGCGTCGCCCACGCCATCCGCGCCGCCAGCCCCGCCGCCTCCAGCGAGCGTGGTCACAGCGCCAGTCGCCACCTCAACCCGCCGGATCTTGTGGTTCTCATAGTCCGCCACAAACAGCGCGCTGCCGTCTGGGCTGATGGAGATGCCATTTGGGTAGCTGAACTGCGCCGCGTCGCCCACGCCATCCGCGTCGCCATCCGCGCCGCTGCCCGCGAGCGTGGTCACCTCTCCCGTCGCCACCTCCACCCGCCGGATCTTGTGGTCGACGAAGTCCGCCACAAACAGCGCGCTGCCGTCCGGGCTAACGGTGCTTCCGGCTGGGTAGAAGAACTCCGCCGCGTCGCCCACGCCGTCGGCGCTGCCATTTATGCCACTGCCCGCGAGCGTGGCCACCTCGCCAGTCGCCACCTCCACCCGCCGGATCTTGTGGTTGCTGTAGTCCGCCACAAACACCGCGCTCCCGTCTGGGCTGGCAGCAGCGCTGTAGCCTTCGTCACTTGCCGGCAAGGCTGCCACGCGGCGCACGCGCCCGGCCGCCGAGACGTGCAGCAGCGAGTCCTTGGTCGAGACGTACCAGGCGCCCGCGTGGTCGCTCGCGACGCAAACCGGACCGAGCGATAGAGGGCCGTCCTCGCCCTCGAGCGCCAGCGTGGTGACCTGTCCGAGGACGCGCGCGCCAAAGATGGGCGCCTCGAAGCCGCCCGCGACCGGCACGGGCTTCTCGTCCGCCTCGGCGCCGCTGGTGCGGGCGCGCTTGCCTGCGGAGGACGCCATTGCCGCGCGCAACTACGCTGCTGGATTCGGGACACGGGCGTGTGGGGTAGACGCGATTACGGACGCCATTGCACGCGCTTCGCGGCAACGGGGGGGGTGGGGGGGGTAGCTGAGGGATGGATTCGGGACACGGGCTGGGGTGTCAAAAAGTGGAATGAAGAAGAGAGTGCGACTACTGACGTACGAACGTACGAACGTACCGGGAAATCAAAACGGTGTCGCAGGAGCGCGCTCCCTGTACACGGCGGCGCTGCGCTGTCACACACTGCTGTCACTTGTGCCAAGCGGCGAGCGAGCAGGGCGTGGGACGCTGCCCCTCGCTCATGCCCGCTCCGCCCGGACCTTCTCGAGCTCCGCGTCGCGCGCCGCCACCGTCCCCTTGAGCTCCGCCACCTGGTCGAGCGCGTCGCCGAGCAGCCCCTTGGCCACGCCAAAGTCGCGCAGCTGCTCCACGCCGCCGCTCGCCCGCACCTCGGCGGCGTGGTCGGCCACGTAGCGGCGGCACTGCGCGAGGAGCCGCCCGTCGCCCATCGTGTGCGCCGCCTCGAGCAGCGGCACGGCGGTCGCCGGCGCGACGCTCTCCTGCAGCGCCTGCGCGCATAGCAGCTCGAGGCGCGGCACCTGGTACATCTGCGCCAGCTCCCGCAGGTCGAGCGCGCGCTGCGCCCTGCCCTCCTCCTCGCCGAGGTCGAACTTGTCGGAGAGGAGGTAGTCCACGAGGGCGGTGAAGCTGGCGAGGTCGGTGTGAGCCACCGTGACCTCGGCGGCGTCGCGCTCCTTCATCCCGATGCCAAACATGGTCCGAAAGACCGGGGACCGGGCGCAGAGGTTGTTCTTGCTCACATGCTCGATGTGCTCCTTGTCGTCGCCGACCAGGAAGGTGACCATGCCCTGCGGGAGGGAGGCGTCGCCCCGTGTCTTTGCGAAGTCAGCCAGGATTGTGGAAGGCGGAACGACGATCGGGGCAAAGGAGGGAGGCGGAGGAGGCGCCGCCGCGCAGACCTGGCGGAGGCCACCGTTGGAACTGACCAACAGCGTGCTGCCGTCGGGGCTGATGGCGACTTCATCTGGGTGAGTGAACTCCGCCGCGTCGCCCACGCCGTCAGCGCTGCCACTGGTGCCACTGCCCGCGATCGTTGTCACCTCGCCTGTCGCCACCTCAACCCGCCGGATCTTGTGGTTGCCGTAGTCCGCCACAAACAGCGCGCCGCCGTCTGGGCTGATGGCGATGCCACTTGGGTTGTAGAACTGCGCCGCGTCGCCCACGCCGTCAGCGCTTCCCATGGTGCCGCCGCCCGCGAGCGTGGTCACAGCGCCCGTCGCCACCTCCACCCGCCGGAGCTTGTGGTTGTGGAAGTGCGTCACAAACAGCGCGCCGCCGTCTGGGCTGATGGCGACTCCGTAGGGGTGGTAGAACTGCGCCGCGTCGCCCATGCCATCAGCGTCGCCAGCCCCGCCGCCTCCAGCGAGCGTGGTCACCGCGCCCGTCGCCACCTCAACCCGCCGGATCTTGTCGTTGTCGAGGTCCGTCACAAACAGCGCGCCGTCTGGGCTGATAGCGATGCCAGTTGGGCTGTAGAACTCCGCCGCGTCGCCAACACCATCCGCGTCGCCAAACTCGCCGCTGCCCGCGAGCGTTGTCACCTCTCCCGTCGCCACCTCCACCCGCCGGATCTTGTGGTTGCTGTAGTCCGCCACAAACACCGCGCTCCCGTCTGGGCTGGCAGCAGCGCTGTAGCCTTCGTCACTTGCCGGCAAGGCTGCCACGCGGCGCACGCGCCCGGCCGCCGAGACGTGCAGCAGCGAGTCCTTCGTCGCGACATACCAGGCGCCCGCGTGGTCGCTCGCGACGCAAACCGGACCGAGCGATAGAGGGCCGTCCTCGCCCTCGAGCGCCAGCGTGGTGACCTGTCCGACGATGCGCGCGCCAAAGATGGGCGCCTCGAAGCCATCCGCGACCGGTACGGGCTCCTCGTCCTCCTCGCCGCCCTCGCCGGTGCGGGCGCGCTTGCGGGCGGAAAACGCCATTGCCGCGCGCAACTACGCTGCTGGATTCGGGACACGGGCTTGTGGGGTAGACGCCTCAATTGCTAGAGGCGGACGGCGGCGCGGCGCGCTTGCTGACTCGGGACGCCATTACCCGCCCGACCAGGCTGGATTCGAAAAAGAAACAAAGAAACAAATAAACCTGATACGCCATGAGCCCATGTCAAGACCCGGAACCTGGCCCTGCGGTTCTCCTGTGGATGGGGCTGGATTCGGGACAAGGGCTTGCGCTTGGGCTGGGTCGGAAACCTCTTCGCGCGATTTTTGTGTCCGCAAAATCATGTGCAGGGAGCGTGACCGTGAGATTCTCAGTTTTGTTTGAGCGCTTTCAAACGGCGCCTCACGCCAGACAGCAACCGCCCCACAACACCACGCCCGCGAGGCACCTCCGGCTCGGCCGCCTCGGCCGCAGCGGGCGGCCGCGGCTTCTGCAGCACGAGCAAGGTCCGCTCCCGCACACCGCCGAGCAGTAGCTTCGAGACGAGGCCATACCTAGGGGGGGTCTCGGGGCGAGCACGGGTGAGCTCGGAGCGATGTCGCGACCTGAAGAAGGAGCGGAGGGGCGAGGCCCGCACCTCGACGGCGTGGTGGACGCGCGCTCCCTGCCGACCACCTGTTCACGGCTGGACGCGTGAAGAGAGTCCGTTCCCAGCGGTGCTGGCGCGCCTCTGCGGCTGCCACCTCGTAGCCGAGCCCGCGGTAGAGCTGGAGGGCGGGCCCGTTGAGCTCGTCCACCTATAGCGAGAGCACGCTCTGTTCACACCTGCAGCCTGTTCGCACCTGCAGTCTGTCACACCTGCAGCGAGAGCACGCTCTCGCCTGCATCCCACACTGTGAATACGTGCTATGAACAGTCTCTCTTCACACCTGCAGCGAGAGCACGCTCTCGCCTGCCTCCCACACGATCGCCTCGACACGCGACATCAGCGTCCGCCCGACCCCGGAGCGGCGCGCCGACGGGGCAGTCGCGAGCGCGGACACATACGACTCCAGCGGCAGACTCGCAGACCAGAATCGGAGCTGCGGGACGTACCACGTGGCGGGCGTGGGGACGTGTCGTGGGCGTGTCGTGGGCGTGTCGTGTGCGTGTCGTGGGCGTGTCGTGGGCGTGTCGCGGGCGTGTCGTGGGCGTGTCGTGGGCGTGTCGTGGGCGTGTCGCGGGCGTGTCGTGGGCGTGTCGTGGGCGTGTCGTGGGCGTGTCGTGGGCGTGTCGTGGGCGTGTCGTGGACGCGTGCCTGCTTGCCGCTCAGAAAATCAGGCGTGAAAGCCTCGACGGAGCCGACGACGGCGCCTGCTCACCGCGCGAGCCGTGAAGAGACGCCGTTCACAGTGACTGCCTCGACGGATCCGCCGACGGGCGACCCTCGCGCTCCGCCACAAGCAGCAGCGACGCGCCGCGCCGCTCGGCGAGTCCGGCCGCTGTCT